TTTGGTCTGAATATCAGTGAGTTGCATGATGTATGGATATTGTCGCTGTATCACCTCGACATCCAAGCCACCACAGCTTTAGCTGTGCTCAGCGACATTTATTCTCGGGTCAGGCATTTTCACCGCCTGGCAACCATCATGGTGAAACAAAGACCAATAAATTCTCAGAAAACGGTATTTTTGGAATGGTTGTTGTCACCCCCTACATCATGTAAAACATATTTAAATTTGGTTGGATTTCTTCAAAGTTAAGAAAAGTTAAGTTTGTGCTGTTTTCTCGATTTTAGCTATTTTCACCGGCTTTTTGGTCAGTGCACAGCAGCTCGCGCAGAGTCCATAGAAATACATGGTAGAGTGGTGCGCGTTTTGTGACTTAGCTCCGCCTCGAAGATTTTGATAGCTTGGCCAAGCGCGTTGAAGAAAGAAATTATATGATTGGCTGTGTTGTTAAACTGATTCTAAACTGTGAGGGCATTGTCACATACACATAGTCCTAATGAAATACTTCAAGGTGATAGTGGAGTGCTTCGCCGGAACATTCACCTTGAAAATTCAAGATGGTGTTTAGTTGCGTGTGACAGTCAATCGATTCATCAGGTCTGGCAGTTGCGCAGTAGGGATGACCCGGCGGCTAAAAAAAAACAGTTCAGTGGTTTCTGCACTACTATCATATAAACCTGCCTATGCTGACTCATAGCTCCATGCTCATAGGGACTGTGGCTGACGGCAGTCACGGTGTGTATGATGATGGACTATCAATTTATTTAAAATTTAAAATACATGTAAATAAATAAAAATTAATAACTATAAATCAACTCACCTCGTACAGTTCAGGTCTGTTTGATGCTGCAGGGGAGAACATTGTTAGATATAATTATTACGGATACGAAATATTAATGAGTTAGTGTGTCAGTGGCCAGTCAAAGTCCCGTGATGACAACCCAAATAAGACACAAACAGAACGATTCAGTGTAAAGTAAATCATTTACGAACGGCTTCCGGTGGACTGATAGACTGAACTATCATTCACACATCGATGATTTACCTGCACTTTGTGACGGCACTCCCATAAACATAGACATTTTCTGTTTTCGCAAATAAGAAAGTGTAACGAAAACAGTAGAAATTGGGACAACCAAATACTTCCGGGAAGCCGCGTTGAACGCTGGGATATATTTGACCCTTGACATTTGTAAAATTAACAAGGAGCTTCTATTAGTAAATAGTTATTGGCGTTTAAGAGTGTTTTAAGTTTTTATATTTGACTTTTTTCCGGGAACCTACCATATTAATGTCATGTTGACCTGTCGGTAAATGTATTTCGACGGTTCCATGTGTGACATCATCACGGCGGGAGACATATGAAAGTGTATGGTGTTTACTTGTCGCCTGTCATTTTTGTTGAGCGCCTATAATAACGGAGGACTGCAAACTGTTCAAAATGAATAATTCTCATAGATTTATCATTCAGAGTTTTCTGTCCAGGGGAACATTGACACACGACGAAATGAAGGACCTCCACAAATTTGCATGTGAAAAGTACGAAGGTAAGAAACCGGAAACAAAAAAATGGGTCAGCTTTATCTGCAGTCACTAGAATCCAAATAAACTGATCAGTACTATTTTTTTTATTAATTTAATTTTCCATCAGTATTACTAATTATAATAATTATCTTTATACCGTTCGTATCCCTATTAGGATATAACAATAGCAATTGCAAAAAATAAAAAAATAATGCTGATTGATTTATGTGTATGACTGACTGTTTCTTTACTATTGATGGCACCACAGTGTGCGTGAGCAGTGAAAGTAATGTGAACTTGATGGCACAACAGTGTGCATGTTGATTATTGATCAAGCGTTGTGTTCTATGAATCCTAATTAACTAATTAGTGAAAGTAATGTGAACTTGATGGCACAACAGTGTTCATGTTGATTATTGATCAAGCGTTGTGTTCTATGAATCCTAATTAATCAATTAGTGAAAGTAATGTGAACTTGATGGCACCAGTGTGCATGTTGATTATTGATCAAGCATTGTGTTAATATGCTAAATACTATCCCAATATTTAAACATAATCTAACTATGCTTTTCATTGTTTGACAAGGTCACAAAAAACATGACGATGAATTTGTCATTGACAATGACTTTTTAACATTAATGTTGCAATTTCTGATTAGTGGAGTCTTCATCACACATCCTCCTAGTCGCATATTACCCACCTATGATATAAAATGTGTAACAAATATTCATTTTTCTTCCTATATAGTCACTTATGCTGCTAAAGATCTCACTCAGTATGTACAGACAATAAACCGCAATATTGGTCAGTTTTCTATGGAAATACGAAGAGGAATAGAAGAAGATATTGGATCTCAGATGTATGCCTTGGTAATGAGTTTTCAACCTACACTTTTTTACACTTTTGATCATGTCATCTAAAATATTTTATTTTAACTGGAATTAATTTTCGCTTAAAAGACTTTTGTCTTGTATTTTGTTTTGTATTGAATTTGTTTTCACTAATTTTTGACGAGTTGAATATAAGAAAAAAGGTATATTCGCTGGATTTTATTTTCACTGAACCATTCCTTCTATGAAAGTAGCAAAGATTAGTTGTATTTTACAGTACATTATTGCCAAATTTGACCTATACCTTGTTACTGTTGTCAACTTTGAGCCTTCACAATGTTGTTTTTGTCAACTTTGACCCCAAACCACGTTACTGTTTCTGAAAGTCAACTCTGATTCTGTATAAACAATTTTTAACATTATTCATGTTTCCTACAGGTTAGGACATCAGAGTCAGAAATGGGTAAACTCAGCTGTCTTTATCAACAAAATGAAATAGATCTATTCAAAAAGACAGTAAGTACCCTCATTCTGAACCTACCCCTCCTTTGCAAAATGGTTTCAATTTGCACTTGCATTGTGTGATGTTCACACTAGAGCAACAATGTTTGCATTTTCTTTCTCTCCAAAGCTGATTCACCTGCGTTTCTAGATTTGGTTTTGGTTTCCACAGATTCCATATGATAATTACTATACTATTGCAGGTAACGCTTGCGCCAATAACTGTTGAGTTTGAACACTAGTTTTCATATAAACAGAAACATTGTTGCACTATTGTAAACATTGCATACTACTGCTTATCAGGAAACAATCATAATATTATTACTTTACACTCACTGTTACAACCACGCTGGTGGTTGTTTCACTCTGCTCAGGTGTCTCGCTAGTAATTACCATTGTTACATCATTACATGTCTTGATCAAAATCGTAGAAAAATATTAAAAAATATTTTGCGAATGGTGACAAAAGTTGATTTTGGTTAAAGGGTCACCTCCAAGTTAAGCTTAAACTCACTGCATATTAGTCCCCGTTCGAACGAAGTCCGAAAACGGGGACTTATATTTCGGTCTCCGTTCGTTCGTCCAGATTCATATCTCAGAATCCCTTGGACCAATTTCGTTCATTCTTTGCATGTGGGACATAATCACATATGCAAATGCAGTGGTTTTGCGATTCGATTCAAAATGGCCGACTGGCAGCCATCTTGTTTTTTGAAAATGTTGTATTTTGGATATGTTTTGTCAGTTTTCATTCAAACTTGGTACATAGATTATACATGTTAGATACATGTCCATGACGACTTATTTCACAATTGGATTAAAGATGGCCGACTGGCAGCCATCTTGTTTTTTGAAAA